GCGGAGCAGGCTGAGGGTGAGACCAGGGCGGAGCAGGCTAAGGGCGAGACCGGGGCGGAGCAGGCTGAGGGCGAGACCGGGGCGGAGCAGGCTGAGGGCGAGACCGGGGCGGAGCAGATGGAGGGCGAGACCAGGGCGGAGCAGATGGAGGGCGGACCCCTGGTGGAGCCGATGGAAGTGGGGCTGACAACACCAGGGGGCCGACTGACAGGGGCGGAGCAGATGGGAGAGGAGACCAGGGTGCAGCTGAGGGACAGACGACATCGGGTGCTGAGGAGGGACCGAGGGACCATGGTGACACCGTAGGCTCAGGTGACCGAAGTGATGACAGGGGCACAGAGGGACACAGTGAGGCCAGAGGGAGTGAGGGCTGACGGGTGACTGGAGGGAGTGAGGAGTCCGACAGAACCGGGGGGGTGACATGACGGGGCGGAGCCATGGGAAGGAAGTCCAAAGGTGAAGGGAGGATGTCGAGGGAGCGAAGGGAATCTGGAGGGACGAGGGAGCCTGGCCGAGCTGGTGGACTGATGGGCCATGGAGGAGCTGAGGGAGGTATGAGCCACGGGGGAGCCAATGGGACCGGGGGCCGAGGAAGTGTCCATGTGGAGGAGTTGGGAGGCGAAAACCGGGGATCCCACGACCAGGCTGGGTCAGGGGAGCTGGCAGACGGAAGGGCTGACGGCTGCGTGACAGGAGGAGGTGGGAGAGGGAGGCTGGGTGGGATCCTGGTCTCGGGCTCTGGCTGGACGGTCTCGGACTCTGGCTGGACGGTCTCGGGCTCTGGCTGGACAGTCTCGGGCTCTGGCTGGACGGTCTCGGGCTCTGGCTGGACGGTCTCTGGCGCTGGCTGGACGGTCTCTGGCGCAGGCTGGACGGTCTCTGGCGCAGGCTGGACGGTCTCTGGCGCAGGCTGGACGGTCTCTGGCGCTGGCTGGACGGTCTCTGGCGCAGGCTGGACGGTCTCTGGCGCAGGCTGGACGGGGCTGGACGGAACCAGCGAAGAGGAGAGCTTGGGCTCGGCGGGGCTGGACGGAACCAGTGGAGAGGAGATCTCGGGCTCGGCGAGGCTGGACGGAACCAGCGGAGAGAAGATCTCGAGCTTTGGAGTGGTGCTGGTGACTTCCTCCACCGTGAATGGAGACTCACAGCACACCAGCACCCACTCCACACAGGCGGCGAAATCATCTGGACCGTTCTCGGGAGGCGTGCCCGGGACCGCTCGCTGAGGCTGGCGATGTAGAACTCACTCAGCGAGTGGTCAGAATAGTGAGGGTCGGTCAATCTGTCACGGGGTGGGTGCAGGCAGAACTCCAGAGTCACAAGGAATATACATTTATTTCATTAATACAGGCAGGAAGACGGGGTACACCGGGTAACATCAAACATTGACCGACAAGGACAGAATGAAACAGAGGGAACTAAATACATGGAAGAATCAAACATAATGAGGTGAAGACAGGTGAAACAGATGAACAGGACGCTGAACGGGAGGCTGACGAGGGAGTGAGTTCAGGTGTGCAGACGAGAGGATCATGGGAAGTGTAGTGCTGGAGACGCAGACAGGATGGTGCAGACGAAGGACTGTGACAAAGATAGGCTATTACTGCAAAAAAAACAAAAAAAAAACTGTTTACTGTAAAGCTATTCTATTGCTGTTATATATTTATTGTCAAAAATTTACATTTTAGTACAACATTCATTTGCTGAATTTATTTCATTGATAACTTATTTTTGTAAGTAACGTTATGTGTACCTCCCGGGAAACGGTCTATGTTATTATAACTTTATGAACTGATATCACTTATTCTTACCTATTACACTTAATGTGGAGAGTAATATAATGAATTAAATCCTCAAACTTCCCTCTCTCAAGTTATGTGGGGGTAGCCCGGTTAAGTATCAAAGTCTATAAAGTTAACTGTTGTGAGTTAAATAATCACCTAGCCTAATTATTTCAACCTAAAAATGATCTCTGCACTGGACTAAATATAAGAAAATCCTATCTCCTATGTCCAGAAGCAGGCACGGAGGTGGAAGCAGGAACTGGAAAGAGACCCAGAAAGAGACGAATCATAAAAGCACTTTTCAGATCTGCCGTAATAGATGCTATGCCTCCTGCAGTAAAAACCAAACTGGAAGATGTGGTTGGACTAAGCTCAAAAACATCAAGGGAATTTAGTGACCATGTGGCTCATGCTGTGGAACAATACCGGAAAAATGAGCAGAAATTGAAAAATCAGGAACGAGAGCTTCAGAGAAGACTGACCCAACTGCAGCTGGACGAACTGATAACTAAGAAGAAGAAAGTTCAAGCTGCCATGAAGGAGTCTGAAGACCCATCTGCAGTAATGGCTGCTGTAAACATACCAAGCCAGATACCACAGCCACAAGCAGTGCAGCAGACGCCACAGTTCATACAGCAAGCACCAGTCCACCTGGGTCAGAATACCCTACATAATGTCAGCCATCCACAGCAATCTAATGCGCCCATAGTGATCTATGTACCTGAGCAGCAAGGCAATAGAAACCAAGCAATGCCTGCACCAGGAAGAGGAAGAGGGAGAGGACGAGCCTACAGCAACCAGCAGAGAAACATGAACCAGTCTAACATATGCTGGGGATGCAATGAATCTGGACACATCAAAAGAAACTGTCCAGTTAACCCATGGCCCAGAGACGAACTACAGATGCAACAGCCTTGGTCACAGAGACCCATGAGCCAGCAATGCCAAGCACCAGGACCAGTATCTGGACCAGTCAATCCATGGCGTGGCCCAGACCAAGGATACTAGGGGTGCCCAGAGAATCCTACGGGGAGGAGTCAGCTGCCTATGATATCAACGAATGCTGACCAAGAACCAATGATGAAGATTGAAATAGAGAACAGAATGGCACCAATAATGCTGGACACAGGGCCAACTTACACATCTTTAAGTCCAAGCTATGCATCACACCTCCCCAAGTCTGGAAAATACATCAAGACAGTAGGATTCTCGGGACTAACGCAAATGGTACCAATGACAGCCCCTGTCCGCATCAAGATCCCAATACTGATATCAGACCAAACACCAGTCAATCTATTGGGTAGGGATGCTATATGTGGATTGAAGTTGCAAATGTGGTGCTCACCTGAGGGAATATACATAGAAAAGGCAAGGCTTAAGCAAATGGTAATGGTAATGGTAGGAGAGGCCAAAACAGAAAACCTGAAGACAAACATATATTGGGTAGGAAACATACAGGAGGGAGTGGAACTTACATTGGAAGCTGCCCCTGAAATTGAAATTCACTGCACAATGAGCAGTGTTGGGAGTAACGCATTACAAAAGTAATACATTACAGTAACATATTACTTTTTGCTGTAACGCAGTAGTGTAAGGCATTACTAATCAATTTTCAGTAATATTTTACTCGTTACATGTTCAGTGAGGCTTGTATTACAGTTGTATTACAGTGTATTGTCTGCTTTTACTTCTTAAAGGCAACAACTGAAAGTTTTAAAGCAGTCTTTTAGTGCCGGTCGCGTCTGTAACATTGTTTTTCCTCATAAATGCGAACACAAAAACTAAAATAAAATGAATATTTTAAGTTCTATGGAGACTGGAGAGCCAACCCTTCCTCATCCGATTTGCGCAGTGTAATTAACAGAATTACAAAAAATATATTTTGCCTCCTATTTTTTTGTCACGCATGAATGTGTGTCTTTTCCCTAATAATAAAAATAAAACATAGACTGATATTTGTCTAATGTCTGGAGTCCTTTAAGGAAGTAGCCTATATATGTTTCAATACATGAATTTTCTGAGAATTTTTATTTCAAGTTTTGACTGCAAATGTCATGTCCATAATACTGGACTTCCCCAATTTTAAATAATTTATCCTCAACTAGTTTTGTGGTGTAGGTCTACGTATTTTATAATGTTAACTTCAAATAATACTAATAGCCTAATTTAAAGATAAGGCAGCATTGGATCTGGACGGTAAGGAGAATAACGCTGGAGTTGGAAGAGGTGTGTCGCGATTCTGTAGGTTCGTGGATCTGAGTCGTGTGGCGAATCGCGATTTCGGTTTAATATTGCATATCGTTACAGCCCAAAAGTTAAGTTCTACTTAGTTATTTTGGTGAAAGTAACTCAAAAGTAATACATGAGTAATGTAACGCATTACAATTCTGGGACAGTAATATTGTAAAGTAATTAATTACTTTTAAATAACAGTAACAAGTAATACCTAATGTATTACAGTTTGGAAGTAACTTGCACAACACTGACAATGAGATATGACCCTTCAAGAGATAGCAGAATAGAACAAGAATGGTTAGAAAGAACAAGGGAACAAAATGTGAAATTAACATCAAAATCAATTATTTTAGGCCCAGCAGGAGCAGCCTTACATGTTAAGAGCAATGACTTCACAAAAACATGGTTTAAGGTAGAAAACTCAGTTCCTCATATCACCTTGTATGTAAATGAAGTTAGTCAGCCACAACACTTAGGCCCCATGCTAAAAGAGGCTGCAGAAAAACAGTGGAGAGCCATTGAGAACCCCTACATCATTCAAACAGATGACATGCTGAATCTAAAAATCCTTTGTACAACAGAAATGGTAGGAATTCCACAATTGATAATTGAAGAAACAGAAGAAGACAACCTTATGCCTATAACAAAAGAATTGATGCTAGAAATGGAAAAATAGGTACCATCAAATTTATGGTCAACACATGACACTGACGTAGGGCTGTAAAATCAGCGAATCCTATTAGAGTTCAGGAGTACTGATTGAAACCAAGAGTTTTTGCAAAACCCCTATTTTGCCAGTTGAAAAAGCGAACAAAGTAAAATGGAGACTAGTGCATGATTGACGGCAGTTAATGATGTAGTAGAAGATTGACCAGCAGAAGTCTGCATACATTGTTGACAAATGTTCCACCTGCTGCGAACTATTTCACTGTGATTGACCTTTGCTCTGCATTTTTCAGTGTTCCGTTAGCAGAAGAGAGACACCTTTTTGCCTTCACATATCAAGATAGTATTGCTCAAATGCCATCAAGGGCAACACCCCCTGAGATACACTTATGACAACAAAGGGGGGCAACTAGAGATGCAAACAACATATGGAGATCACATGAAGGTCTTATGATAGCTCCTCTACCATTACTAAACATCTTGATTCCTGATGCGCACAGTTTTGATCACTGTGCAAGGGGGGAAATGTTGAGAAAGATAAAAAGACAGGGATTTTGGTCCCCATACTTACAGACAAGGGTAGATGAATTTTCAAATGAATGTGAAATAATGTCAGAAAAGGAACAGCAACCCCAATAGGCTCTATTCCAGAAGGACTTTTCAAGCATCAAGTGATGGATTGTTACAGCCAAGATGGAGACCATTTGCTAGAGACGAGGCAGCAACAGGACTAGAATTAATATTTGTATAGATAACGCCAAATAAGACTATGGAATGGAATAATTACATATATTACAATCAGCAGAGATTTATTAATTACACGGATGAAGCACTCCAAGCTCTAGAAGAACAACTAAAAGCCACAAGCAAAATGACCTGGCAGAATAGACAAGCTCTGAATTGGCTCATGGCAGACACAGGGGGTATGTGCATAATGTTTGAAACTGACTGTTGTACCTTTATTCCTAAGCGGGCACAGCCCCGGATGGATCCTTTACTAGGGCCTAGAAGAAGATAAAAGAATTAAGACCGGAAGTTGCTACCAACGCGTGGGAGAGACGGGAGCTTTGGGTATTGGCTTGACTCAATATTTACACCCTGGATAGACTGGCTCATTCAGGTGGGAATATTATTAGCAATATTAGTTGGTGTCTTCTTTCTGTTGTTTTGTTGTGTTGTGCCTTTCCTCAGATCAATGCTGGCCAGTGCAGCTGCCAAACAAATGATCAATGTATCAGTGAGACCATCAGGAGTTGATATTGGATGTGTCAACGCAGAGATTCACCCAAGTGCCCCAGACCTGGATGAGCTGGACGAGTTTCTGTAAAGTAACTAACTGAGACCATATGGAAAGATGGTACCTTATTACTTTTTGATTTTTTACATTTTTACTCTGTTTATGGTTAGATAGGGAGATAGCCCCACTGTGTATTTTGATTTTGGGGATAAAATTAGTTAGAACATTTAGTGCATGGGTAGAGTAGGCAGTTAGATAGAGGGGTTTTTCTACATTCCTTTGATTTTGTATAAGGGCTGTCTTTCCAGAAGTATTTAGACTCATATAATCTGTTTCTATATAGCATGCTTATATAATCCACAAGAAATATTTTTACTATAATCACACCACTGGTCACAATTATAAGTATGTGAATGTAAGGGGATGTTAGAAGGTCTGAAACAGGTCATTGTCCGTGGTACGAGATAATGCAACCAGAAAAAATGAAAAGTCAAGAATGTTTTATTATTACTACTCACTTTATGTCACGGTATATACCACCTGTTGAGTATATTCATATATAATGTGTTATGAAACTAAAAGAATGAAGGAAAAGGATTAGAAGGAATGTAAGAAGAGATTAAAAGTAAGTTCTTACTTTAAAGAAATGATGCAGTATGAGGGATTGAGATGAAAATGTTTTCATTGTCATTGTTTTTTACATATATACAATCTATACTCCTGAAAGTAGTATGTAGAAGTGCATTAAGGAAAAAAAAGAAAAAAAAAAGAAAAAAGAGAATGGTGATATTTTACATGGATGGAACATGTACATGTGTGTAGTAGATAGAGGAACTATACGTGAAGCGCGGTCACCGATTGTCAAAGAAGGCAAGGGCAGACTCAACTGGTGGTTTAAAAACCCGCTGTCTGCTCCAACACCAGATAGCGCTCCAAGGCAACTTGAGCGCCTCTGGCAACGATGGAGCAACCCAGATAGCACTCCAGGCCACCGGAAGCGCCTGCGAAGTTCCTCTGGCACCGTGGGACAAGATAAAGATTCAAAAATGCAGGGAAACATAAAGAAACATGCCCCTTAAGCTGATGATGTAAAAAGGAGGGTAGGATCTTTTACTCCACTCTAGTCAATGGAGGGTGGAGATGTTTGGTCCTGCTTCTCCTCCAGGGTGCACCTATGTGATGTGGGTTAGATTGGTAAAAGGTGAATGGTCTATATTGACCATATTGGTAAAAGGAGAGAAGACCGACTCATAAAGATGCATCCTGGGCACAATTATTGAGTGTGGGACTAGAGAAAGTCCCAAAGGGGGGCTATGTTGGAGAATTCTGCTTGTCCTATGTACATGTGAAAGAAGAGTGCTGTACATGTGAAAGAAGCATGCTGTGCATGTGAAAGAAGCGTGCATGTGATGTAATGCCAAGCAGAAAAAACTAGGGTCTTAGGGCACATGAGGACAGGGACGAGAGAGTGGAAAAGTACCCAAAAAACACTTGTAGCACAGATGCAGGTGTTGGGAGGCACTGGGAGAGAAACAGATTGTATACAATGTAACAATGTGCCACTGGGAAAAGCGTACTGAAACAAGGAGCCCATTGTGTAAAAAGAAATGATACGCATGCGCACAGAAGTTTGCCCCAATTAAAAATAAAATGATAATGCAGGTGTTTTTAATCTGGGAGGAGTAATAAGGAGGAGCAAGGAGAGAAAAGATAACAATTTGAGCGTTAATTGGCTACCACAAGGTATAAGAAATGAGTGCAGACCATTGTAAGATCAGATGCCTGGCCGACATCTCACTTTGTTGAACTGCTCAATAAAGTTATTCTTCTGAGACCTGAAACCTCGACTCTTGAAAGATTTTCACTGAGAGCTGTACCAGACTTAGATGATTTGAGTTGGGACTGGAAATCTGCCACAACATGCGCTGTATCTCTTCTGCCTTGTTCACCCACCAAGTGTCCTCCATGGTCCGGAGGGCACGCTGGGTTGCAGATCTCGCTGCATTAAAGGTGGCTTTCAAGGTAGGAGATCCAGGACAGGACAGAAGAGCTTTATGAGCATCGTGTTTTATTTTGAGGAGTGTCTGTATCTCAACCGAATTATTGTCAAACCAGTCCTGGTGGGGTTTCCTCGACTGGCCCAATGCCTCTGACGCTGCACTGTGGATGGCTTGGCGCAAGCGTTGGCCAGTCGGCTGATTCTTCAGGGATCTTTTTGAGGTTATTAGCGAGGAGCTGTCGAAGGAGGTCTCGTGAGGTGAGGCTACTGAGTGCTGAGCAGTTGTTTTTTTGTTTTGGGGCTGTCCTCCGACTACAGGGTCTAATACTCATGAGGAGTTTGGACCTGACCATATGGTGGTCAGTCCAACACTGCTCCGCGCATGACTCGAGTGGACAGGACCTCTTTCCGATTTTTTTGACGGACTATTACGTAATCAAGGAGGTGCCAGTGTTTTGAGCATGGATGCTGCCAGGTGGTTTTGAATTTATTCTTCATCTGGAAAAGGGTGTTGGTGATGACCATTTGGTGTTCTGCACAGAGAGAAAGGAGCCGAAGGCCGTTGTCATTCATCTTCCCAACTCCGTGCCGGCCAATTACCTTATCCCATACCAGGTGATCTATGCCCACTCTGGCATTAAAATCTCCCATGAGAATGAGTTTGTCTGTGGCTGGAGTTTTTCTTATGGCAGAGTCGAGAGCAAGGTAAAAGTCCTCTTTGACGTTAGACTCGGCAGCAAGCGTTGGTGCATAGGCACTAATGAGGATGGCAAAGCATCCTTTTGCCAAGTCTAACAGGGTGCGGACATTCCATGAAGCAATATTCAGGTGTTTATTTCTTTCTTTCCTTTTTCGACCGCATGATGGGATGCTCCGGCGGTTGCGGTATACAACCCAGAGTGTATGGCGCAGACATTTTTTAAACCACCTTTTCCAGGTCCTTCCCCATCTCAGGGGTGAGCAGCGTGGAACTGCTCAGTCACAATAGAAGCTGCCGAGGCAATGTGCTGCTCCATCCCACAGTTGCAACGACCATCACTCCATTGCCGCCTGTGTGCATGGTTTGGCTAGGCACTCCTAGCCACATCCTTGGCCTGTACCTACCACCATTTCATATCGCCACAGGACTTCTTTGGAGTAGGGGGGAAAGGGGGAGGGTAAATAATGGGGGGAACAAGGGAAGCAAGAAGCTCGCACATAGGTAAGGATTAAGGTGGAGGTGCAGGTGTGCATTACACACTCCCACCATCTTGGCTCCTTCCAGAAGGATCTCCGGTGGCATGAGAGAACCCATGACGACCTTCGTCTGTAAGGAGTTGCAGGGGGCTGCCGGTAGCCCGGTCTACTTCTCTCACACCCACCATTTTCCAGCGGCTCCATCGTTGAGGCATTTGGGATCACTCTTTGTCTGGCCTCTACCCTTTGACCTGTTCGGCTTGGGGGGCCCTACCAGGAGTACAAGACTCCCGCCGACATAGCTCTAGGGGTCACGGAGACGCGCAAAGCGCCCCACCACAATAAGGTGGTGATCCATCGGGACACACGCACACACACACACACACACACACACACACACACACACACACACACACACACACACACACACACACACACATGATCTTAGAAATTTTAATGATTTTGAAACAACCAACCAACGGACTTCAAAGCTGCTCATCATTGTCTGTGGTAAGTGACAGTGACTTTAGTGAATACCAGTATTTTGGGAAAGTATTATTTTGGGAAGTATTTTACTGCCCCAGCGTTTTGGGAAAAGAATGGGAATGTGAATATTGTAATGGTAATTAACACAAAGGGCCATGCCAGTCTTCAAACAAGTATATTTCTGATGATTCCTCATCCCAACTGTATCCCTGTAGCAGCAGCATTCATTCTCTACTAGTTTACTTAGCTAGCTTTAGCAGTATTAGCTAATTTTGGTGGTTTCTTTGAACATATACCTGATGAAAATATCTCAGATGTTGACTTTGGTAACCCTTCGTTGGTTGTTCCAAACTCATTAAAATTACTAAGATCATGTGTGTGTGTGTGTGTGTGTGTGTGTGTGTGTGTGTGTGTGTGTGTGTGTGTGTGTGTTTGTAAGTGAGCCATGATGCTAAATATCCAGCATGTTTTTAAGAATTTTGAGAGTAGTCTAAAATTCTATTGAAGTTCTGAGCCTATTGATCGCCAACTAGTGAAATCATCATAGATCCATTGATTTTGGTTGGATTTTTAGAATTTTTACAGTGGAATGAGTATAATGTTTGGTGAAAAGAATTCCATATTGACTGAGGTCATAACTTAGGGGAATAATTGTTTGCCAATAAAGTTAAGATGAAAATACTGGAAAAAGTGAGAAAATGGCTATTTGTTTGCATTAAATTGATGCAAAATCATGTAGAAATGCGTTTTAAGAGTTATTTTTTCAGTGGATGTTGTCAGCACATGTGTTCTGTGTATCTGGAATGAATTTATTGACAAAATTAATTTATTGATGAATTTATTTTTCACATTTTTCTGATAAAACAATTAAGAATGATACACTAAAACTTTTCGTGATATTTCCGGCAGAGCAGACCCTCCAATTATTTGTTTTTAGGGTCAAAGTTAACAGAAAAAAAAAAAACACAAATAAAAATTATGGCAGATCATGTCAGGTTTAACACATTTTTGAAACTTTGGCTCCCCGACTAATAATAAGACTTTTTAAAACAAAATATTTTTCCAAAAGTTTTAACTCAAAGGGATTAAAGACAATGTAATTTCCAAATTATCTTCACCTGGAACGCAGTGTGGCGTCCACGGTCCACCACCTTATTAGCGGTTTGAGTTTTAGACCATCAGTGTGAGGGAAAAGAGTAAAGTGAGGACATGTTGGGTGGTCCTCATTAAACAACTTTGTTTGAGGTTCAAGATAACCTCGGTTTTAGGGATAAGGTTGTAATTACGCCAAGGCCCGGGTAAGGGTTCGGGTTTGGAAGTTAGTTGTGATGGGTAAAGTTAGGGTATGGAGCTAGAGATTCTACATGTTTTTCTATCCTGGTCGAGACTTCAAACTGAATGCACAACGACTTATGGGGACGTGTGTCACGATGAGGACCTAAATTGAGGTCCCCACGTGGAAACAAGCTTCTGAATGAAATCATTCAGAATGAGTTTTTTTGAAAATGTAAAAAAGCAGAAAATGTTATGTGATGGCCAGGTTTCAAGGGGATAGATTAAACAGTCTGTACAGTATAAAAACCATTACATCCACAAAGATTCACAGACACGTGTGTGTGTGTGTGTGTGTGTGTGTGAGTGTGTCTTAACTTTAAAACTTGCTGTCTTCTCTTTGGACCCTGCATAGTCACATTTAACTAACATATCTAGTATTCAACACATTGGTAATGAAACTTATTTAAACTCCCATACATAAAATACAGCCTTGTTTCTTTTTAGTTTCATTGTGTTTTGGTTTTGTTTTCCCTGTTTCTATTTGTTCCTAGTCATTAGTTTCTATAGTTTCGAAGTAGTACCACACTTGTTCTGTTTTCCCTTGATTGTGTGTTTGTATTGATTTGTGTATTGACTCGATTGTGTGTTCCTGAGTTTGTATCTCCAAAATAATTATTCTAGTATTTTCCTGTTTGTGCGTGTTGCTTACTAGACCAGCTGTGACAAAATACTGAACCGAAAATAAAATAATGAACTTACCAGCTGTCCACCTGATTTTTATAGAGCAGGCCAACAGAGTCTTGAGGACCTCACCAAGGACTTTTTAGACCTGTTGTGTCTTACAAACTTTTCACACCGCTCTCAGGCAGGGATTTTATATATTCCCAGAAGCGTCACGCAATTTCAAGATACCTACCTCGAAAAGGAACGTCTCGGATTACTTAAAGGGATTGTTCACTTTGAAATTAATTTTTGGTATGTTTTAGCTTACCTCAAGGGAATTCAAGATGTAGGTCTTTGTTTCCGCAGTATAGTTTCAATTTTGCTTTTTTTTTTTAGGTCAAAGCATTCTTGTCAGTCAAATAATGCAGTCTATGGTCACCACCTCAAAGAGCATGCACAGAGAAGTCAAAATTAAACATGATTTAATGACTCGTAAATGTAAGTACACATTGATGGCCTGAGACGCGAAACGAGCTGTTGGACGTGGCTGTGAGAACAAGAGGTAAAAATGATGTAAATCCTGTTCGTTTTCTCACACAAACCGCTCGTTTCGTGACTTAGGCATTCAATGTGTACTTACATTTATGATTCATTAAATCATGTTTCATTTGGACTTCTCTGTGCATGCTCTTTGAGGTGGTGACCATAGAGCTGCATTATATGACTGACAGATAAGAACGCTTTGACCTAAAAATATAAAAATTGAAACTACTGCGAAAACAAAGACACCTACATCTTGAGCCGCTTTCCAACCAAGTAGTTACAGGAACTTAGTTATAGGAACTGTCCACTTCTAAACAGTTCTAAGAACTACTCTCCCCAAAACTCGGTTTTGCTGCTTGCGTTCGCACTGGCCAAGTGGCCATAGGAACTGGTAGGAGGGGTAATGCAAGCACGGCGACGGTCTTTATCACTAGACGTAGCGCGGCCAGATACAACAACAACAAACCAGCATGGAGGAGGCTATTATTGCAATGTTCCTCTGCCTTGCCGGGACCTTAATGGGCTATATGCACGCATAAGTTTCGCATTTGACGCAAGGATGCTCGTCCATTTCCGGTTGTGGAGATTTAAGCGGAGGAGAACCGAGGAAAACGGGGTTATGGCAGAGTCTTCAAAATTTACTTTCCTCCCGTCTTTGAAACGAAACCTGCATATACGTTTAGATGTAATTTTATATAT